AGAATGGCAGTTTTGTAGTTTATACGTTACCATCAAAGAAGGAGGTATGAAAAAGGGTTACACGAAAGTCATTGGTGGTAAATTAGGGAGGCGGGAGAAAGCAAAGTGGGGAATTCTCTGAGATTGGATGATGAATAAAATGAAGAGACAAATACTTCCTTTGCATTGGTGGGTATAGGTAGTTAACGATTAACATTTACAGCACATGGAGATGGTATTGGGGCAACAAGGTAACAATGAGGGTTTCATGGTCTCCTGCTCTGGTGAGAGATTGTGCTCTGAGGGGTCTCGAAAAGGGGGGATTACTCTGACATTCCAAAGGTCTGCTATTGCAGATGCAAAAAGGCAATAGACACACTTACTTAAGGTAAAGATGAACCTTTGTCAAGGAAGATATCTGCTAGGACATGACTACCCACCATGACTCCTTTTTAGTTAAGAAGTTTTCATTTCAGACCATCCTATGTGGTTACTTCAGGTGTCTGAGTTTGTAAGGCCACTACACACGCCACCCCTGAGCTTGTCAGGTTTAATATGTGGCCCCTTTTTCATCCATAGGTTCAGTGAAGAGCCTGCCTCACACACACACACACACACACACACACACACACACACACACCCTCCTTGGGTTTCCCCACAAGCTCTGCCTTTGTGATGTGGTTTTCCTCTCCCAGAGAGGACCAAGATAGCCTTACCATCTGCTGCTCTCACTACCCCAAACCCCTCCTCTGCCTCCTCCTCACACCTCTTCTTTCTCAGATTTTATAGTCTCATGGGCTCTTGTATCAGGTCCTGAAGATTCAGCCTTTTCTTAGGTCACCCAGCTCCTCACCCTCCGAGACTCCATCCATTGAGACCATGACAGCCCCCTTCCTCATCCTCTTGACACAGTAGACTCCGGGCCTGCTAAGCTGCCTCACTGAAAACCATCTGGCTTGTGTTACATGAAGCCACAAATTCCCTTCTGATTATATGAGCTTCCTGAGCCAGGGAATGTGGTAAGACTCAGAAACAGCCAGATGAAAGAGATGCATAGGGCAAGGTATGGGGAAAGGGCGCAGGACTTCCATGCTCTTTCCAATCCGGTGCACCACGCTCCCCAATCTCCCCATGTTCACCAGCCTGGAAACTATCCAAACCCTGTCCTTTTGGGTTTTTACGGAGGCTTCATAACATAGACATGATTGATTGCATCACTGCCACTGTCAACTGATTCTACCTCCAGCTGCTCACCTCTCAGAGTTGGGGGAGAGGTGGTGTGGGACTGAAAGTTCCAGCCCTCTAATTATATAGTTTGCTGCCCAGGCAACCAGCCCCCATCCTTAGGTGCTTTCCCAAAGTCACTCCATCAACTTTTTAAGAAGACACATTTATAGCTTACATCGCTTGGGAAATTCCAAGGATTTGGGGAGCTCTGCCAGGAACAGGGATGAAGACTAAATATTTTGTACTGTATTTCTTATGATAAATCATAATATTAAAAATATCTATCTCAGTCTCTCTGTCCAATGATGAAAACCTCCTACAATGCAATGTGAATACAGTGCAAAGAATAACAGGTAACGTTGCACCTTTCTCAAGAGATGCAAGATTTCATGAGAACAAGGATGAAAAGTGATGTTTGGAAAATTTGCCAACGCCATGTATTTGGAAGGATCCAGAAGAGTTAGACCTATTACTGTAACAAAATCAACAAGAATGATGACATGATTATTCAAAAAAGAAAAAACTGAATGTCAAAGCATTTACTAATGGTTTTAGAGGGGAAATGTTGAAATCTTCACATTTTTGCAAACATTGACCTTAAGTAATTTTTTTCCCTGAGCACATCATAGAATCCTAACAAATACTTGTTGAATAGGTGAAATAGAATAAATCTTATTTTTCTCATGTAACAGCTCATTCTAATTATGTAATAGCATTGCTTAAATATTTATTTTTTTGGTTAATCCTCACGGAGGATATTTTTTCCATTGAGTTTGAGAATGGAAGGGAGAGGGAAGAGACACACAGAGAGAAACATTGATCTGAGAGAGACACATTGATTGGTTGCTTCCCGCAGGCGCCCCAAGTGGGGGTGCAGGATCAAGTCTGCAACCGAGGTTTGTGACCTAGATGGGAATCCAAGCAGAAACCCTTCAGTCCAAGGGTGACGCTCTAACCACTGAGCCAAACCAATGAGGGCTGTTTAAACATTTCACACGAGATCATTTGTTTAATTATTCCATCCTCACAACCTTATGAAACAGAAAATTGAAGTACAGATTGGTTAACTAACTTGCCGAAACGTGAACATCTGGCTTCAAACCCTGGCAGTCAGCTGCAGAATCTCTGTGCTTCCTTGTCTCTCCTTTTCCCTGTCTCTACCATGTTCTTCTCCCACCTGCAGGGCACTGGATGAGGGCCAATCCCTGTGTTTGGTGTGTGAGATTGACAGCAACCTCCTTGCTAGAGCGAGTTGGGCCCTGGAGAGCCAAGCTCAGAGCCTCGGTCCTGCAGCTGCCCCGCAATGGAAGCTGGCGATGGAGGGGAGTTCTGCCAAGCTCAACACCCATTGGGCTCCCAACACGTCTCTAGTAGCTTCTCTGTGCAAAGAGTGGTGGGAGAGAAGAAGGGGCAGGATTCCTGGATTCTGAGAGCGGAGCCTTACGTCAGTGTGACAATACAGAGAAAAGGTATTTTTTCATAATATACAATGCCAGTTTCTCTTAGAAATGAATATATCCCGGTTTTTAATAGGTCTCCTGCCAACTTGGGAGGACTACCCCAAGACTTTGGCTGTATGGAATGAAAGTTCTTTGAAAATGGCGGCCTCCAGTGTCATAATCCCAATGGGCGCAGCCATATCGTTCGCCCAGACAGTCCCAGAAAGAAAATGAACCACCGGATGGAGAGACACCGTAATTCTCCATGATGACCATTGGCAGGCTGTGGCTTCAAACGGTCTAGTGAGCGTGTGCACAGTTCACCCACTTCCGGTTCACAGTTCACCCACTTCCGGTTTGGGGTGAACTGTGCGCATGCTCACTAGAACATTTTTGCTTACGTCACCAACTGCATCTAACCATCGGTTGCTTGAGGGTCGCGGAGGTGCTGTGGAAGGTTAGCAGTGGGGATTCTGTGCCGTCAGAGGAGGTTTCGAATTGAAGTTGGAAGATTGGCTCGTTAATTTTCATTCCTTGTGTATTTTCTGTATGGATATAAGTATTTTTTTTGTAACAAATTCCTAGTGTACTTTAATGATCAGATTTTATATTGTCCCATAAAACTTGATCATTTGAGGCGCAACTTAAGGGGCCTTAAGTCGGTGTTACTTGAGGACATATGGGGAAGTGAGGCGCTGAAGGAGGCAGTGATTGATGGGAAGCGGGAGCCTCTGGGATTGGAGGATTCTGAGGGTCACACTGTGACACACTCCGCTGGGGGGCAGTGATTGGGGACCTAAAGAAATGGGCAGAGCGGGGTGCTAAGGGTAGCACATGGGAACCAGTTGACTGCATTGCTCTCTGGCACTGAGTGTTGGGGTCCTTCGGGGATGGATGGTAGGGTCAGTGTTGGTTTCTCCTTGCTGTGTCTGTGGACAGGGTAAGAGTCAGTGATTGGCAGCTGAGCAGATAGGTGATGGTTCCCATTGGGGGCGTTATTTGGAATCCCCTGTTGGGAGTTATTTCAGGCCCTGTGGAAACCACACTCTCTGAGACACATTTATTGGCGATGAAGGTAGTAGTGATTTCAGGAGCCTGACTATGTCAGTGGCTGGGAGCCATTTCGTGACCTTCTGGTAGTCCTGTGGTCTGGTCATTGGGGGTTTCTGGAGGTCAAAAAGGATGTTTTAGGGGACCCTGTCCTTGTAGGGGACCACACTGGATAGTGGAAACTTTGTGTAGTTTAGAATGAGGCAGTAACAGGATTGCGTCCCTTTGCAGACTGAGTGACCTTAAGGCAAATTATGAAACACAATTCGGTCTCAGGTTCCTTAGCCACACAATGGGTACAATAATGATTATAGGGTGGAGGGGAGGCAGAAGAGGGTATGTGGGGAGATAAATGGTGATGGAAGACTTGGGGCGCTGAATACACAATACCGAATTCATGCACGGTTGGGATCTGGCCAGCTGCCCAGTCAGGGCTGATCAGGCCAGGCTGGCTTCCAGGAGGGGATGTGGGAGGTTGGCCGTCCAGCCCCACCCCAGATTGGAGTGGGAGGGGACCATCGGGGCGAGGTCAGCTGGGGGGAGGGGCCACAGGCTGATTGGAGGTGGGGCCAGCCAGGGCGAGGGGCCCTGGGCGGTTGGCAGGTACAACCCCCTGGTCGAACTCCTGGTCAAGGGGACAATTCGCATATTAGGTTATTGAAGATTTTATTACCACAAATATTGAGATTTTGTTACTTTTTAAATGAAAAATATTTTGGTACAAAATACAGTTATGCAAAAATATAGCTATTTCAGTGACATTATCATCATGGCCACATACTATCAATTTTAAAATGTACTGAATAGTTTTATTATTCATCCTCTATTTCATTGTTTTCATCTATTCTTTAATACCTACTATATAGACATATAGTTAGATATATAGATAGATAGATAGATAGATAGATAGATATGTATAATCTATCTATATATATAAAAGGCTAAGTGTCCATCCGACCAGTAGCTATGACGTGCACTGACCACCAGGGGGCAGATGCTGAATGCAGGAGCTGCCATGATGCACATTGGCCATTTAAAAATAAACGGCACCACAGACCTGGCGCCAACAAACCAACACTCGGCTTCCCCCAAGTGGGACACAGGCCCTGCCACCACCCCAGAGCGACACCCCACCAAATCACAGCCAATGCTGCCAAGACCCCATGGCACAAAATGTGGCCCACAGCCTAGCCCAGCCCAGAAACGTTTGCTGTGGGCGCCGGGTAATGACATCACAGAGCAACACCTGGCTTCCTCTCCCTAGCAACTAGCCTCCTTGGAATTTCTTCAGCCCAGGAAGACGACTTGCTTTATAGCCAGGTACACACATTTTACAATTTAACCAAACGTTTGTGAAGCGTTTTCACGTGCCTCATCTCATTTGATCCTCACAGAAGTCCTCATGTCTATTTAATGGAAAGCTATTCAAAATATAAGTATCAAAATAGGGGGCATAGGGAATGACTGCTTTTGAAGGTCAGAAAAAGTGGTGTCACCTTAGAAGTACAGTGACGTTAGAAGGCAATTTTATGGGCTTAGCAGTTGTAACTGGTCCATGAAGCAACTTTAAATTAAACAAAGGAGCAGGAAAAAATGGGGATAGTAGACATAAATATATGCTTAGATTTGGAAATCAATTGGACTTTTTTTTAAAGCAACATTGTTAAGCTGCATTGGAGAGTTACAGATAAGTTTTTCCACACAATTCTGATATTTTATATTGAATATCTTGAACAGTGATTTAAATATCACCAGGTTCAGAAAGAAGTGATGAGCCTCTCATAGATAACCAGTGTATGGACTGGTTATGGACTCTTTCATATGTTTATACAGGCTCCTAAACATACACACCAGGAGTCAGCAAACTGGCCATCAGCTAAATCTGCTTTGCCATCTGTTTTTTAAAATAAAGTTTTATTGGAACACATTCATATTCACTTGTTTATTGTCTGGGGCTGCTTTTGTGCTCCAGTGGCAGAGTTAATTGTGTTAATGACCATGTTATCTACAAGCCAAAAACATATACTCTCTGGCCCTTTACAGAAGTTTGCCAACATTTGTTATCCACATACACTCATTAGTATGCTCATAATCACACATCTACGTAGGAACTCTTTCCTGTTTTATAAATACCAAATCATACCATACACATGTGTACTTGTTCTTTTCACACAACACAGCTATCCAATATCTGCATGGTAGTCTATCATGTGGACATGCTATAATTTATCCAACCATCCTCACATTTTTTATTCATTCTCCCCCCCCCCCATTTTTTTCAGTTCACTACAAAAAGCAGAATAGCATCATCTTTAAGTGGACAGGCCCAGGATCCAGGTTCCTGTATTTAATTCTACATCAACTGGGCAAGTCATTTAATTCATCTGTCCTGGTTTTCAAGAGGAAGATTATAATAGTGCTTACCCCATGAGTTTGCATGAGAAGTGTGTGTGTGTGTGTGTGTGTGTGTGTGTGAAGCACTTGGAACTGTGTGGGGAGAACCAGCGCTTGGTGAATCAGAGTGGGACAATGCATGGATGGATGGATGGATGGAGGATTAGGGATGTCAGAGAGAAGAATCAAGTAAAATAACCTCTCCTTTAATAAGAAACCAGGTGAGGCAGGTCAGAGGGCTTCCCTGCAGCCCATCTTAGGGATTCTGTTCCAGCCTCCAGATAACCCTCAGCTTGGCACTGGGGCTCCTGGAGCTGGGACGGTGATGTCCACAGTGAGGTTGGTGTAAAGAGGCTGCAGCTCCTTGGAGAGCAGCGTGTAGCCCAGTGAGTTCGCGCCATCTTGTTGCCACCTGCTTTGGATCTCGGCCAGGAAGCCAGGGCTGGGGGGAGCAATAGCCATGTGAGCCCAGGGCTGAGGGATGACCCAGAACCAGCCACCCCATTCCAACCCTGACTCACCTCTTGGGACTCTGCTCATGGCTGGGGTCCAGCCCCTCCTCCAGCATGTGGTAGCGGCCATAGAGCAGATGGGGTCGTGAGAGGAGCATCCCGTTTAGTTCCAGCCTTAGAGGGAAGAGGGCAGAGGCTAAATGCCTGTCTCCTCTGATAGGATCCCCAGGCCACAGCGCAGCCTCTCGGGCCAGGGTGGCCCATGCCCCCCTCAGTCTAGGGCAGCCTGTAGTTCCCACACCACGGGGGAATCTGCAGCCGTGTGCCAGGCTCCCTAGAGCAAGGCCTCCCCACCTGGCAGCGATGTCATTGTCCTCACGATCCCAGTCCCAGTACGTGTTGGGAAAGCCATTTATCTTGCGGTAGTGAACTGGACGCAGGGCAAACACCCCTCCAAGGTAGCCTTGGTAGGGCAGCCTAGAGATGGCAGAGAGAGTTGGAAACACAAAGAAGTTCAGGTAATAGGCCCTGATCCTTTCCTGGCCAGGATCTCCAAGGTTAATTTCTGGGTTAGCCCTTCTCCACTCACCCCTGTGATCACCTCTCCTCTGACCCATGACCCATACCCACTCCCTGAATCATCTGACAAGCCCATCTTGTGACCCCAATGATGGCCCCCTTCCTGACCCTTAATTGGCCCCTCCTATCACTCATTCCCATCCTCTGACCTCAGTTAAAAACCTGTTTGCCTACCACTTTATTAGGTGCATCCTGACTCCCTTATTAATAACCAATTCCATCCCTACTTGGCATCCACATCCACGAGGAAGGTTCTTCACTGTCTATGAGGTCTTTGCTCAAGCCCCATCGTCTCCTCCCTGCCTCAACCCCAGGGATCAGGGTCTGGATCATACATATGAACAGGGCACGATTCAGGGAAGAGCAGGGCCTGGCCAACAGGCCCCCTCCCTCCACCTACTTGTAGTTGAACTTGTCGATGGCCACGGACACGTGGGCAGGGAAGATGTCACAGATGTAGAGGTTGCGGTTGTCCTCTGGCAGTAGGTTCACATCGTGGAAGAAGACGCAGTCCCAGCCATCTTCTTGCATGGCCTCCCAGAACCCCACATTGCGAAGCTTGCCCCGGTTGAAGGCGGTGTTGTTAACCTGGGTGGACAGAGATGCTCAGTGCAGTCCTCACCAGCAGGCAGTAGTGTTCTCTCACCTGCCAGGCCCATCCTTCTCACCTTTTCAAGTCCTGTTCTCCTGCCTGGAACCCCTTCTTATTCCCACTGTGGAGCTGGAAAACCCACACTTGTCCAGAAAGGTACAATGTAAAGGTTACTTCCCCTGGGAAACTTTTCTTGGATCCCCACCCCCCACCATCCTAGGCAGAGTCAGTAACTTCAGCCTCTCAGCTCTCCTTCCTCAGCCATCTTCAAGGTTCTCAAGGATCATCACCTTCAAGAGGTCATCTGAGGGAGGCGGAGTTTAGGAGTAATCAGGGACCACTGGGTCTGTTTCTGTTCTGACCAGACAATGACTGGGTCTGATGCCCAGGAACCATGACAGGATTTGCCTCTCCTCCTCCTCTTCTTCCTCCATCATCATCATCATCTTCTTTATCACCACCACCTTAATTGTTACATCATCACTTATTATCATCATGTCCATCATCATTACCATCACCACAATCTTCATTACCTCAACATAATCACATTAACTCCATTATCACTATTAGCATCACCATCATCATCACCATGAACACAATTATCACTGTCACCACTGTCACCATCATCATCACCACTGTTAGCAACAGCATCTTAATTGTCACCATAATTACCAGAATCATCACCATCAAAACAATCATTACCATCATCAAAATCACCACCATTATCATCATATCATTTATTGAGAGCCTACTATGCCAGGCATTGGCCTCACTGTTTTACATTCACTAAGTCGATTAGTTTTTCCCACGACCTAATAATGCAGGTGTTATTATCATTTTTGTCTCATGGGGAGAAAACCATGGCAAAGAGGTAAGTTCCCCAAGTTTATTATACATAGTTATTCCGGTAACAGTGGGATGGATGGATGGATGGATGGATGGACACATGGTCCCACACTCAGATAACACATGTAGTAATGGACAAGACCAGGATTCAAACAAGCATCTAACTGATCCCAAACCCCTTTAATTCACCCCTTATCTTTATTGCCCAATCTGGTCAGCCCTGGTCTCAGAGAGGCCTCGACTTCATGAATCGGACTGAGCCTTTCCCACAGGCAGCCATTCAAACTGATCCCAAACTCAACTAGTTAAGACCAAACCTATAGTCCTTGGCTCTGATTGCCCCCAATTCAAGATCTGTACTCATAAATCCAGCCCCACAGATATTCTGTGACCCAGACACTCTCAGCTCACAGCAACAACTTCAGCTCTGATTGTTCAAACTCATGCTAAAAGCCCTCTGCCCTCTTGCCCTTGACCCTCCCCATTCCTGCCACACCTGATTCACCACATAGATGGCATAATGCAGTTGCTGGCGCTGCAGGAAGGGGTGCAGGTGGAAGAGCAGGTGCTGCAGGTGCTGGGCTTGCCCATAGTAAGGTACCACTATTGCTGTGTGGTGCCGTGTCCAGCAGTTGGGTGGCTGGTATTGGCCTCCCAGCTCCACCAGTGGGTTCTTTTCCACCACCTGCTCCATTGTCAAGTTCTCTGGGATCATCACCTTCAAGGGGCCACCTAAGAGAGGGAGAAGCTAGAGATGATCAGGAACCTACCCCAGAAACCCCACACCCCAGTTTTACTGGGTTAAATCATTCCCCACCCCCAAATTTCCTATCCACCCAGAACTTCAGAATGTGACCTTATTTGGAAATAGGGTCCTCACAGACACAATTGGTTAAAACGTGGTTCTACTGGATTAGGTTTGGCCCTGAAGCCAATGGCTGGTGTCCTTACAAGAAGGCCTTGTGGCCCTGGCCAGAGCTTCTCAATGGTTAGAGCACTGGCCCACACACCGAAGGGTCACGGGTTCAATTCCAGGTCAAGGGCATGTACATGGATCATAGGTTTGATTCTTAGTCCCAGTCAGGGCATGTGCAGGGGACAATCAATCAAAGTCTCTCTCTCTCCTGCCAGGCCCATCCTTCTCACTTTTTCAAGTCCTGTTCTCCTGCCTAGAACCCCTTCTTATTCCCACTGTGGAGCTGGAAAACCCACACTTGTCCAGAAAGGTACAATGTAAAGGTTACCTCCCCTGGGAAACTTTTCTTGGATCCCCGTCCCCCACCATCCTAGGCAGAGGGGATCTCTCTCTCTCTCTCTCTCTCTCTCTCTCTCTCTCTCTCTCTCTCTCTGTCTCCCTCCCTCCATTCCACTCTCTCTAAAAAGCAATGGAAAAAATATTAAGAAGGAAAAAAAAACATGGACCACTACTCAGCTGAGCCCTTCCCAATACTCCTGACCCTCATAAACTTGGAGAGTCAATGAATGTTTAAAGACACTAAGTCTTGGGGTGATTCCTTATGATTCACTAATAGAGAACCAACTCTCTCCCCATCACCCCCAGCTACCAGGCCCACAGCTTCTGCTTCCAGGTTCTGACCCCACCCCCTTAAGCCAGCTCCCCAACGCCCGAAGTGGGGGTGGGGGCATAGGAGGCCTCCCACAAGCTTACTGATGTAGGGTGAGACAATGGGGCAGCTGGGCAAATCCTCCCTTCTGATGTCCACACGGTGGATCTGGCTGATGTTTGAGTACACATCCTGGCGAGGGATTCCTGGAGAGGATTCCCGGACCACAAAGGGCAGCTCTTCTCCCCCCTCCGGCTTGTCTTGTGTGAGGAAGCGCAGGGAGGAGGTGAAGCCATGGCGGTGGTGGTCTGGGCAGAGTAATGCCCCCATCAGCAGCAGCTGTAAGCCCAGAAGGAATAACAGGAGCCCCCTCTGCTGTTCCATTCTGGGAAAAAAGCAGAAGGTCATTCCTCCCATTTGGCAAACCCCTCACTTTTGCACCATGGGTCTCAGGCCCAGGCTCCTGCAGCCATTCCTCCCTGACGGGCTTTGCACACTCCCCAGAGGGGAGACCAGAGTGAGACACTTCCCAAGGCCACTCAAGGCCACATCATCTGTGCGGAAAACCTGTCTTGTGAACGTCTGCAGCCTCGTCTCGTCAGCCCGGTTCAACACTTTGGTCACACTGGGTACCAGCCGGACTGCTCCCTTGGCCGGGCAGCTCAACCTCCCTGACACTTGACGTCCTTGTCTGTAAAATGAGGCTTATTGCTGGATCAGGCTCATCCTGCCAAGACAGGCAATGTGCTTCTGTTAGGGTGCGGCAGAACTCAACATTATTCCAGGAATGGTCCAGGTTCTCTCTTATCTCCAACATTTTTAAAATATGTTTTTATTGATTTCAGAGAGGAAGGGAGAGGGAGAGATAGAAACATCAATGATGAGAGAGAATCATTGATTGGCTGCCTCCTGCATGCCCCCTACCGGGGATCCAGCCTGCAACCCAGGCATGTGTCCTTGACGGGAATCGAACCTGGGACCCTTCAGTCCACAGTCCGACGCTCTATCCACTGAGCCAAACCTGCTAGAGCTATCTCCAGCATTTTGCATAGAAGGGACCAGCCCTGCTCCTGCTCATCCTGGGTGCCCTTCCCTTTCATGCCACAAGCACCAAGTTGCCACTAGGGGCTTCCACAGCCTCAGTATTCCCTTCACCCACTCTGATCATTGTGGATTGTGACTGTCCATGTCAACCTCCCCATCAGACTAGGGGCTTGAGGAGAGCTGGTTCAGGACGGACTCATCTCTGGGTCCTCAGCATTTCTCAGCACAGGAGGCCCCAGGAAATGGAGGATGATTGGATGGATGGAGGAATGAATGAATGAATGCAGATAGATCTCTTCTCCACCTGACAGACTCCTACTCATCCTTCAAGAGCCAGCACAAATGCTCCTTGTCTTGTCTAAGTCCTTTATTCTCATCTACACTCTGGGCTCTCCTGGTCCCTGGTATCTCTGCTGTCACAGCTCTGGTCACCAGAACTGGAATGATATGTATCTAGTTTCTCTCCCTCACCAGCCTGGGAGCCATGAGAGGGTAGACCTTGGGCATGACCCATCTGTGGGCCCCCATCATCACCCATAAAAAAAAGTTGAGCACCCACGTATTTACATATCTCTAGTTACTAAGCATCCAGGCATTATGGTGTGAACCAAGGAAACAACCAGAAACAAAATCAACAAAAACCTCTGCCTCCATGAAACCTACTTTCTGGTGGAAAAGACAAGCAAGAAAATAGATAACTTCAGAGAGTGATAAAAACCTATAAATGAAAATGGGAGGGTGGCCGGGTGATGCTACTATTTGCTACTATTTGCTACTGTGGTCTGGAGCAGGGCCGAATAGATCATGGATGTTAATTTTAAAGTTTCTATTGGCCTCATTTATAAAGTAAAAAGAAACGGGCACAATTCATTTTAATGTGACACTAACCCAACACATAAAAAATATTGTTTCAACATGCAATCAAGATAAAACTAGTGAGGGATTTTACATCCTTTTCTCACATAAAACCTTCTAACCTGGTACGTATTTTGCACTTACATTACAGCCCAATTCAGACTAGCTGCCGTCCAAATAGCCATTAGCCATGTGTGGCCAGTGGGCAACACACTGAATAGCAACGCCAGGCCCAGAAAAGGAAGCCTTCCCGGATTATGAGAATTAAATGAGATGAAGATAATGAAAGCTTACTGTTCGGTCAATACACAGTAACTTTCCCGGTTAACTCACTGAGTGGGTACTATTATCGTCATCCCCACTTTACAGCGGAGGAATCTGAGATGGTGCGTGGGAAGTGCCGAGCGGTGTCTGGCACAGGCGGACTGCTCAGTCAGTGCTGCTCCCCCACTTCCACCGTCCCCCACCCCCGCCCCCCAAGTCCTGTCAGCAGCACTTACAACCTCTGGGCTTTATCCTCCCTATCTCCCCAACCAGTCCGGATGCAGCCGTGTCTCACAAGACGGGCCTGGCACGAAGGAAGCCTCAGGAAATGATGAACAAATGAATGAGTCTAATGACCAGGGTTTAACCCTTACAACAGGAGCCCCCCATCATCCGTCACTCTCAATCTTCCCCATCAAGGACCTCACTGGGTTAGACACAAGAGGGACTCAGACAATAACAGGAGAGGGGGCTTGGATCTGGGGAGGCCCTCCGTTGTTTTGTTATTGTTTGGGGGGCTTGTGCCTCCGGGAACCCTCCGTTTCACGGGTCTCACCTGTCCTCCATCCCGAGCTCTGCCTTCAGCGCCACCAGGCAGAAGGCGGGCGCATTGGTTACGGACCACACCTGCGCATCACCGCTAACGGGATCCACGCCCCGAGCCCGCAGCTCGTGTAGAGAACCGTAAACCCGACCCTATCCGCTCCCCGCACGCACCCAACCGCCACCCCTCGGGGTGCGCACCCAGTGTCCCCTCGGAACCTGTCCAGCGCCAGCGCTACCTCTGCCTTTCGCAACCCACCCATTTCTCCCCCACCCCGCAGCCTCCCCATTGAAAACTCTATCATACTCCCAAGAAAGCACGAAATCTGAAAAATATCCTCTCCATCTTTGGAATAAACTGCACAGTACACCGCGCGCAACAGAACACAGAAACCAGGCGCCGATCCAGCTCCCGGCGCAGGCGCAAAGTGGATCTGAGCGGCCCCCAGCCTTCTGAGGCCGGTGGGCGGGGCGCGTGACGTCAGTGCGCAACGCTCACAGGGAGTTGTAGTCTGTCCGAGAAAAGCCCGCGTTTCCTACCGCGGGCACCTGGGAGTCGTAGGCGGGTAGACCTGAAAGCCTTCTGGGAGTCGTAGTCTGTTTACCCACTTCCGCTTTTCCTGGGAGCCTGGACCTACCAGCGCGGGTTCTGCTCAGGTGAGTGGCGGGCTGGACTCGGCCCTTTGTTTCTCTGCCACGTAGAAGCTGGTGTTCTCCATGTTTGTCTCCCACGCATTCCGGTAGCCATACCTGCAGAGATCGCTCTCCTCTCCGTGATCCCCCAATGCCTGTCTCCCGGCGACCCGCTTTAGACTCAGCAGCTGGGTCTGACTCCTCGTTCCCACCACCCAAGCTGGGTGCGGTGCAAGCGCACGCTCCTCTGTCCCCTTACCGCCTAGCGGGGTCAGGGATGGCCTAGGGGGCGATCAAGGCGGCTGTTTGAGCCTAGAGGAGGCGCCAGACCCAGCCCAGGGTTCAAGAAAGACTGCAGAGCAAAGGACCTCAACTCTCCTATGGTCAAATGAGATTCCAGATTCTCTGCCTTAAACCTAACCCTCTCACAGTTTTCCCCCATTCTTCTCCATCCCTCACCTCTTACCTACTAAATGGTCCTTCCAATTGTTCAAGCCAAAACCCTTGGACTTGCCCCGAGTCCTGTGTGTCTCTCATCCACTCCTCTCCCCCAACCATGTCTTGTGAGTCCCATCTGCTCTATTTCCAGAAGAGATCCAGAAGCCGACCACTTCTCTCTACTTGCACTGTCTCCTCTCTGCTCTGAGTCACCATTGTTGCCCACCTGGATCATTGCAGGAGGCTCCTCTCTGATCCGGGCTGGCCCCCTCCACCCTGTCTTCACACACAGCAGCCTGAGGGATCTTGTTAAAATATAAATCACTCCAGTCGGCCTCGGCTCGGTGGTTGAGCGTTGACCTATGAACCAGAAGGTCAGTTAGATTCCCGGCAGGACCTGTGCCCATGTGTGGGCTCCATCCCCAGCAGGGGGCATGCAGGAGGCAGCCAATCAACTATTCTCTCTCACCATTGATGTTTCTAACTCTCCCCCTCCCTCTCTGAAATCTATTTTAAAATATTATATATAAATATATAATCACTCTACAGCTTAAAACTATGCAATGATCCCTATCTCATTCAGAGAAAATCCAAGCTTCTCATCGTGACAATCTCCAAGGCCCTGACCCTCTCCTGTTCAGCCACAATACACCCTCCAACCAGCTGCACACAGACAGGCCGGACCCTTCAGGTCCTTTGCATTTGTTAACTCTGGAACATTCTTCCATCCTGACCAAATGCCTGACTTCTCTTTGTCCTCCTGGCTTCCTCTCAGATGACAATCCCTTCATGTCACTCCTCATTATTTTTAAAGTATGGAGGTTATTTCTGCTTATCCGTCTGTTGGTTCCTCCACTAGAACTGAGTTCCTGCAACCTTTCCTGTTTGTTCTCTGCAGTGACCCCAGTGCCCAGGATCCACTGAGTTGGTATTTGTTGAATGGATGGATGAATGAATGAATGGATGGATGGATGGATGGATGGATGGATGAATGGATGGAGGGATGGATGGATGAATGAGTGAAAGCTTCATCTGAGATTTGAAGGTGCTTGGCCTGCACAGCGCTGAGGGAAGTGTTCCAGGCACTGGGTTTACTCTGGGCGCTACCCAGGCAGCCTCCCTGGAGGCAACAACCCTGCAATCCGGATCCACCTGTAACCCGCCTCCACCTGTAACCCGCCTCCCTTCTCTTCTAGTCCAGGAGAAGAGGACCCTTCGCACCCGCCCGGACCCCGCGATGCCCGCCCCGCAGTGCGCCTCCTGCCACAAGGCCCGCGCCGCCCTCCGCCGCCCGCGCTCCGGCCAAGCGCTGTGCGGCACCTGCTTCTGCGCCGCCTTCGAGGCCGAGGTGCTGCACACGGTGGTCGCGGGCCGCCTGCTGCCGCCCGGCGCCGTGGTGGCCGTGGGGGCCTCGGGCGGCAAGGACTCCACGGTGCTGGCGCACGTGCTGCGCGAGCTGGCGCCGCGCCTGGGCATCTCGCTGCGGCTGGTGGCCGTGGACGAGGGCATCGGCGGCTACCGGGACGCGGCGCTGGCGGCCGTGCGGCGCCAGGCGGCGCGCTGGGAGCTGCCGCTCACCGTCGTGGCCTACGCCGACCTGTTCGGGGGCTGGACGATGGACGCCGTGGCCCGCAGCACGGCCGGCTCGGGCCGCAGCCGCTCCTGCTGCACCTTCTGCGGGGTGCTGCGGCGGCGGGCGCTGGAGGAAGGGGCGCGCCTCGTGGGAGCCACTCATGTCGTGACGGGTGAGCGCATGCGCGCGGCAGGAGGGACTCTGTGGGAGGAAGGGGCGCATGCGCGGGCGAGGGCGGGACTGACGAGGGGATGAGGCGCATGCCCGGGAAATGAAAAGGAGACCCGGGAGGATCTCAGTAAAAGGGCTGTGCGTGCCCCCCAAAGGCTCAGGGGCCTGGTATGTGCGCGCCCCTGCAAGGGGGCAGGGCAGGCGTGGCGAGCTTTTGAGCCACTGCCATCACCTTGGTGCACACACAGTGGCAGTTAGAGGGCTGGAGGGGTCCCCTTAGACCTAGGGCAGTGGTTCTCTGCATTTTAAAAATGACATTCTAGCCCTGGCTGGTTTGGCGCAGTAGATAGAATGTTGGCCTTCGGACTAAAGTGTCCTGAGTTTGATTCAGGTCAAGGGCATATGCCTGAGTTGTGGGCTCAGTCCCCAGTAGGGGGCGTGCAGGAGGCAGCCGATCAATGATTCTCTCTCATCATTGATGTTTCTATCTTATCTCTCCCTCTCCCTTCCTCTCTGAGATCAACAAAAACATATTTTAAAATAATAATAAAAATGACATTCTATAGGTTTCCCCTCAAAAAGGAGTGTGCAGGGGTGTCTCCCATCTGTAGTCTGACACGTAACTGTGTCTTTTAACTTCTTTTCTCTCTCGGTTTGCCTCTCTCATTCTCTCTAATCCCCTCCCAGTCATCCCCTCAACAAGTAATTATTGACCACTTCCTGGGCGCCAGATGCAGGCCATGTAGCCTCTAGCTGAGCGCCTAGCCTCGGTTCCCTCTTGTAAGTTGGGGATATTAATAACGCCTGGGTCCCGGGGATGCTGAGAGTTAGGTGCGTTATGTGTGAAGCACTTAGACCACAGGCCGAGAAGCAGTGACCCTGATACAAACGTTTGCGGTTATGGTGCACAAGTCAGCCGGCTCCTGCCCGGCCCTCACATAACATAATTACAACCTGAGAGGCGCTGCTAAGGAAAAGTACGCTTTGCGAGTTTGCAACAGGGGGACCTAGAGGAGGGAGAAAGGCGGGGGTTAAGGGAGCGTTTGGGAGTGAGCGGAGGCCTGAAGGCTGCGTGGGTAACAGGTGAAGGGCGAATAGAGGTTGGGAGAGGTGTTCTGAGCAGAGGAAACAGCCCATCCAAACGCCCTGCGGAGAGGATGTGGGCCGATGGAGACGCCCTAAGAAGACCCGGGTTTCACTGTATAGAAAAGTCTATGATGACAAAATGCAGAGTCAGTAGGCGTTTAGCTTAAAGTTTCTGGTGACTGTCTGTGCCGTCACTTTCTCCGCGACCTGCAGCCCCAGGGGCACTGTGTCAGCAGCCTGTTGAGAGTCTCCATAAAGTGCCCTTAGGCTTTCGCTGTGCGGCCTGAGTGCACTTGACACTGAGGCTGGAATGACATCTGCAGCTGAAAGCACTGTTACTCCCTCCGTCAGGGCGCGTCCAGCACAGGGCCTGCCCGGCCCGGTAGGTGGGTGACACTGAGGGCGCCCCAGGTGGCTCCACGGGGGCCTGTCCTCTGTATCTCACTGTGTCCACCTTCTGCTCCCCACCCCCTGCGCCCCCGGTCCCCATGACCAGCAGCGTCCCTGCGCCCTCCCTGACCGGCTCCCCGTCTCTCCCGCAGGCCACAACGCGGACGACATGGCGGAGACGGTGCTCATGAACTTCCTGCGGGGCGACGCGGGCCGGCTGGCCCGGGGCGGGGGCCTGGGCTCCCCGGGCGAGGGGGGCGCCCTGCCGCGCTGCCGCCCGCTGCAGCTGGCCTCGCAGAAGGAGGTGGTGCTGTACGCGCACTTCCGCCGCCTGGACTACTTCTCCGAGGAGTGCGTGTACGCGCCCGAGGCCTTCCGCGGCCACGCGCGCCACCTGCTCAAGCTGCTGGAGGCGGCGCGGCCGTCGGCGGTGCTGGACCTGGTGCACTCGGCCGAGCGCCTGGCGCTGGCCCCGGCCGCCCGGCCCCCGCCCGCCGGCGCCTGCTCCCGCTGCGGGGCGCTGGCCAGCCGCGCGCTCTGCCAGGCCTGCGCCCTCCTGGACGGCCTGGACCGCGGCCGGCCCCGCCTGGCCATCGGCCAGGGCCGTCGGGGGCGGGACGAGGTGGGGCCGGCGGCGGGGACTTCGCAGGAGAGGGAGCAGGTCCAGCCCCCAGCCCGCGACGCCGTTCCCGCTGTCCCCACCTTCTAGGGACCCCAGTTCTCCACTGGGACCCGACCAAGGAGCGCCTGTAAATGACACTGTGAATAAATCCGAGTGACCTTTGCCCAGGGCTTCTGGGAGGGGGACACGACCGGTTACCTCTGACCCTGCAGGAGCTGGTGGCCTGGGCTCCAGGGTCTGAGGGAGGAGGGGCTGAACAACTTTCCACTCTTGAGCAAGTGGGAATTGGGTGTGGGTGTGGGGGTGGGGTGGGGCTTTTCCTACCTCTGACACGTTCTCAGACAGCCCCAGCCCTTCCTGAGCACCTACTGTGCGCAGGCGTTTCCTGTTTATCTGTAGAGGGGTAAATAAAGCCGCCTGACTTGACAGGCACACGGCTCAGTAATCACGGTGCTTCTCTGAGCCCTGCCCCTCTCATTCGTTTGCATAATCTCATTAGCTGTGGCCTGAGGTCCCCAGGCTGGAGAGCGAAGGAACTGGGCTTCAAGACGGTGGAATTGCTCCCCACCCCCTCACACCTGAATCCCTCCTGGTGTCGGTGATGGGTGGGGAGCAGCTGGGTGGTCTCCCCAGACCTCAGCTTCCGGAGGCAAAGCTGAGTGCGCCTGGGTCCGTGACATAATGTCTCTGGGCTTTGGTTGCCTCCTCTGAAAATGGACTCAGAGCAATGCTGTGAAGATTGGATAAAGGGCTTCATGAATGGTGTCGACATTTATATTAAGGTTTGGCCACCAGGGAGCTCTGGTGTTCAGGGTTGCTGGCCCAAGGTCCACACAGATGTGAGGCCCAGAGGCTTCCTGCCTTAGGGGGGCATGGAGGTGGGGTAGGGGGTGGGGCTTGGTAATTTAGTCCCACCTCCAAGCTTTGCTGGGCTGGTCCCTGGTCAGGAATGCCCTCCCTTTCCCATCTTCCTGTGCAAATCCTCCAGGGTCCACCTGGGAGCCTCAGAGTCATCCACCCCTCCCACACCCAACCCCGTGGGCTGCCCCTCACCTGTGGCCATTCATGCCCTGGGTCTCATTTTTCCTAATGGACTGAGCTTTGAGGACAGAGACCAAAAATCCCTCCCCTCTAGGTAGCACAGCATCATTCATCCAACATTTACTGAGCCCCTAATGTATACAGGGGCAGTAAAAATATAAGTAAATAAAATAAAAGACAAACCTCTCACTTGTGGAGCTTACAGTCTATGGGAGAGAGACAACAGAGGAGTAAATGCATACTCTGAGGTCTGATGATGAGTACTGTGAATAGGAAATGAAGGGCCCTGGCCAGTTTGGGTGAGTGGTGAGGGCATCGGCCCATGGACTGAAGGGTCGTGGGTCGATTGCTCTATCCCCGGCCCTGGTTGGGGGAGGCAACCAACCAATCCATGGGTCTCTCTCACATTGATGTCTCTCTCTCTTCCCCTCCCTCTCCCTTTTCCCTTCCCTCCACTCTCTCTAAAAAACTAAATAAAATAAATGGAAAGAATATCCTCAGGTGAGGATTTTTTTTTTTTTAAAGAAGGAAATGGAAGAACATGGGGGGAAAGGCTGTGAGGGGACCTATTTTAGTTTGGGAGATCAGGGCTTCTTTGAGGAGGTGACTTAGGTAGAGACAAAGCAAGGGAGGTTTCCAGCCATGATGGACTATCTCATGTCAGAACAATCTTATGCTGAGACCAACTGGAAACAATGCACACCCAACACAGAGATATAAAACAGTCTATTTGAATACATCAAAGAGCAGCCAGAATCGCAGAGCAAAGGGCAGATGATATTCTGCAGGAGGGTCCGGAAGGCTGAGGTTGGGAGTCGGAGCTGAGTTCAGCAGCATCGTGGGGCGGGAGACAGAAATGGAGTCTGGGGCTACTGAGGCAGTGAGGACTCGAGAGGCCAACATCCTGGGGACGAGGGAAGAAGAACATTGAGGTGAGCCAGCACTGTGCTCCTCTTTTCCTCTGGGAAAACAAAACAACGTTCAGGGTCTCCTCAGAAGGATGGGTCCCATAACTACCTCACTTAGGACCCAAATAGATCTACAAGTTAGAGTTACGGTCACGGGCAAGTAGATTCATCCACAAGAAGACCAGCACTCAGTTTCAAACTCAATCCCACACTGGATTAAAAAAAAAATGTTCTTATTGATTTGAAAGAGAGAGAGAAACATTGATGTGAGAGAGAAACATCTATCGGCTGCCTCCCACACTCACCATGACCAGAGATTGAACCCACAACCTAGCCATGTGTCCTGATCAGAAATTAAACCATTGACCTTTCAGTAGACAGGATGATGATCAATCACACCGGCCAGGGTCCACAGGGATTAATAAGATCCCTACTCTATCTGCTTGCTAGGAAGTAAAAGTAGGGGAACCCGAGCCACAGTCCTATTTCCATTTAAATTGGTTAAAATTAAGTTTAAAGCACCATTCACCGGTCTTACTAAACACATTTCAAGTGCTCCGTAGCCACATTCGGCCAGTGGCTACCGCATTGAAGAGCACAGGTACAGACCATTTCCATCACAAAATGCCATTGTGCAGCACTGTTCTAGAATCCAGAGGGAACATTTTCCAGAGCCTCAGAAAATCTCTACAATTCAATAAAAACTTTACAAGCCTATCGGGACGAAAGGGCTGCACACCAGGAGGAAAACAAAGCATCGACATGGTCACAGATGAACCAGATGTAGGAGTTTCAGGCATGGACTTGATCATCAAAGTGTTCAAGAAAATAGATGCTAAAAAAAAAAAAAATAGATGCTAAAATGGGGCTTTCGCTGTCAAACTGGAACACTTAAAAGAAGAACCAGGCAGAATGGAATGACTGGCACCAGACTTACCCTCCTGCTGTGAACACCTATCAAACCCGAGATAACATGCTTGGCAACTCACCCCGCCTTGCTCCAGATATAGCTCTTCCTCCCAATCGCCTACCGTGATGACCAACACCAACACCCACCAGCCACCCAGCTGTGTGCCCACAGAGGCAACGGCTTCCTCAAGAACTTCCTGTGAGCTTCCCCTTTCGACTTCCACATTGGCAGCTGGGCACCTTGGCTTTTCATATTCTCGGCCGGTTCTCTCACGTCCACCACTCCTGTGCTTCAGGTGAGCTGCTCGGTGATGCTGTCTCTCACCCTCCTGCTCCCTCCAGAACAGCACTTCCTGGCTCCTGGCACATGGTCTAAGGTCTGGGTTTTCTAACAAATCCCGTCTTCTCATAGTTCTGTGGGTGGCTGTCTCCGGGATCGCACCGCATCTGATGCACAATGACAAATTATACAGACTACAATATAGACCCTGGGTAGGATTCTCCTCCTCCAGGCATAGTTACTGTGGCCTGTAGCAGGTGGGTCACTGCGATCCGATCAAGGACTGAGGGAATTCAAAACCCGGCTGCGGTCCCTATGGGGGTCTCATCTATTTCCAGCCCAAGGTCCTCGGTCATCTCCTGAAGGTTTGGCCTGGTCTTCAGGGCATAGGAGGACTATGGAATGTGTTGGCCTCTTCCATAAATGAGAAGATGTAGATGATTCTACAGTAAACCCGTAAATTTCAGGATGAAAGAAGGTCAGAGCATGCGGATACACAAGTACTATGTCCTATACCATGTCCCCAGTCCTCATACTTGCAGCTTCAACCCTACGTCCTTCTCTAAGTTGTACCCCAATGAAGACCAAGGACCAAGTCCCACAGCCCTGTTATCCTACACACACGCACACACACACACACACACACGCACACACACACACACAGCAGAGGCAACAGCAACAGCTTGGGCTTGGAAGGACCGCTGACATCACGGATCAGTCCTTTCTCTCTGACGACCAGGGGAGATGGCAGAGCAGCAGACATCAATGGCTCTTTCTGGGTTGGGCTTCCCCCCAACACCTCCCCCTCTCAGGAGCTTTCTTCTCCCCAGTGACAACCAGGAAGTAAAGGCTGAGCTTCTCACCCCAGGTATGGTGGCAACCTGTCATGATGGCCCCTTTCCATCCCACTCCCCCCTGCTGTCACCTGTCCCAACTGTTCATCCTCATGCACCCTCAGAGAATGGATGGAATGTGGTCTCTTTCTGCTTTCCCAGAATTCTTGGGACATCTCTCTGGGAGCAGGAGGGCCTGGAAGCCAGGACCTACCTGACACTGAATCCTCTCTCTGTTCAAGCCCAGAGTCCAGTTCCTGTCACACAAGAAGCCTCATGAAGCGATGGCTGAACTCATACTCATCCCAAGGGGGCCCTGATGGGCAAAGGCTAGAACAGAACAGTGGCCCTGGTCCAGCTGCGAATGCTCCAGCTGCAGATGCAAGTGTGCTGGTTTGTGGGTTCCTGGTGTCAATTTCACTTTAAAAAGCTACTGAACTTGGGTGTGGTTGTCAGTCCACTCTCATGGTTCCCATTGTAATGGGGTGACCCGCAGAGACGACCACCAGGACTCAGATCAAAATTTAGGAGCCTTTATTAAGCTGGCCAGGGACTACAGTTACAACACCCTGCCGAAGCAGAGGCTGAACTGCAGTGCTAACTGCAGGAGTTACAGCTTTTTTATTTGCAAAAACCACAAAGTTACAAAACCTTACTTCCTGACACAGTACAGCATCATTACAGTGACTACCTTCCTATCTATGTGTTCTAGGAACAGAGAGTACAGCATGCTGGAAAGGGGCCATGAGACCATATCTCAAGGCCCGGCCTGATGTCAGCACATCCCTATCTATGTGTTTTAGGAACAGAAAGCACAGAGCACCCGTCTGGCCGAAGCGCCAGATATGCAGCCCAGCACACCATGAGCCCTGCACTCACACCTTCTAACGTCTAAACAGTTCTTTCAGCCACAAAAGGCCTGTCCTTTTTTTTAACTTCTTTTTTATTGTTTAAAATATTACATCAAGTAGTACATTTAGGCCTCTCCTTTTTTATTGTCTCCATTGAATCACCCTCTGCTTACCCCACTCATCTGAGCTGAAGAAGTGGCCTTGGCACAGTGCCAGGCAAAGAAAACTCTCAGATCATGTTTTCTGTTGCTCAGAGCTCCCTGGCAGTACAAGAAATGGGTTTAAAGCAAAAGCAAAATGATGGGGCAGAAGTAAGGGCAGGGCAGGAGTCTGACAGGTTTTCTGGAGGGGGTGAGGGTAGAGTCAGCCTGAGGGGCAAGGGGCCCAGTGACCTCTCAGAAACGCACTGTGTCTCTGAGGCCATCTCCTCTTCCCCAGGATGAGGGCGGTCCCAGGGGGAGATTGAGGAGGAGTTTGGCTGCACCTCTGTCCTGTAGGACAGAATGTCACCAGCCTCACTCCCCAGCCTTACCTCCACATGAGACAGGTCAAGGTTCAGCCTCCAGGGGACCATCCATCCAGCTGGGGAGCTCCTGGCCAGAGGGTTGGCGCTGTCCGTGGTTCTGGAGCACACCTGGGCTCAGCTCTGCAAGGGACCCCAACTCACAAGGCCAAGGTCCCCAGCCTTAAGCGAGCAGGGCACCTAACCCCGAGGGGCTTTGGAAAGGCTGGGTTCCTATTGGGAAGGAAAAATCAGGAGAAGCGGTGGGAGTGGGCTGGGCTCATCTCTGTGCTTTTCCTCTCACCCCTCTGGTTGCCTTATTCTTTTGAGCTTATGCCAGCAAAATGCTAAGATTCCACTTAGCATTTGCCACCAAAATGTCACAAAAAAGAGGAAGTTCCCCCAATGAATTGCTACATGTCTTAGGGGACCTACCAATCTACTACGGCCACCATTAAGAATTAAGATGTCAGTTTGGTCTTCACAGAGGGTAGTTTTAGGAGGACGTTGGTCCAGCAGGGGTCTGGGGAGGAAGCTGGGCCTGAGGAGGAAGAATGTGCAGACACTGCTAATGACAAGAAGAAATATTGATCAAGTGTGTTTACTGCCCACCGACTGGAAAGACTGTTAGCTGTTTGCATATTTTCTTACTGGCACTAGAAATATAGGAATTCACCTCACACCATAAATATTGTGGGGACAGTGAGCTACTCGATACGTTCATAAATAAAGCTGAACATTTGCCTTGGCTATGCACTGTGCTACGTGCTAGAGATTCAAAAGTGAACAGAGCAACCCTGGCCGGGTGGCTCAGTTCATTGGAGCGTCGTCCCATACACAAAAGGTTGTGGGTTCTATTCCCTGTCAGGGCACTTACCTACATTGCGGACCTCCCAGTCAGGGTGGATGCAGGAGGCAGCCAATCGATGTTTCTCTCTCACATTGATGTTTCTCTTTCTCTCCCACTCCCCCCCTCTCTCTAAAAATCAACTTTAAAAAGGGAGCAAAGCAGATTTGACACTGCCTTCAGAGTGAACCAGGACATTCTGGGAGCCTCAGTTTCTTCATCTGTATAATGGGACAGACACCATTACTCTGAGGTGACCTCAGGGCTGTTGTGAGGATAGGGAGGAGCTTTGGGGACCTGCACAGCCCCATTTCTGCCAGGACTAATGTCTCTTTATCATTTACTCAACCCTAGCCACACCTCCCCTCACTATTTCAGGGCAAGACAGGTTGTGCCATGATGATTCTCTCTCATCATTGATATTTCTCCCTTCCTCTCCCTTCCTCTCTGAACTAAATTATATATATTTAAACCTACTTCTAGTTTGTAACTTATACATTCTTATTTTATTATGTACAGTCACTACCATAAAAATTACGGCATCATAATTAACTAACCCAAGTTTTAGTAAATGAACACTTCTCTCTCCTCCTAGGTAATCTACACTAATAAAAGAGAAACATGCAAATTGGTGTCACTCCACTATGCCCACCAGCCAATCAGGATGGGTATGCAAATTAACCCAACAAAGATGGCGGTTAATTTGCCTATGCAGGCACAGAGCAAAGACTGAAGGCTCTAACGGAGCAAAAACTGAAGACGACTGAAGAATGAAGAGGCTTGGCTTCTCAGCTGTGGCCAGAGCGAAGGCCTGGGTCCTGGGTACCAGAGGAAAACCAGTGCCAGCAGCCAGGGGAGGGGAGGCCTATTGCATGAATCACTTCATGCAACAGGCCTCTAGTATGTACATATTAGGAAATGTAAAATCCATTTACCCCACCACAGCTACTTTGGGCTTAGCCGTTACTAGTGTCAGGAATTTAAATCTATATTTTTATTCTACAGGCAATAATTTCCCCATTTATTTGTTCCAAAACATCTGTATTACTTCCTCATTTTTGAATTCTCTCTGCTGAGTATAAATTATAAAGTGACATTTAAAAATCGTATCTGCTTTCTTCTGCTTTCCATGGTTGCTCCTGAAAAGTCAATTAAACTGCTCTGAGCGAGTCCTCATTTGCCTGCACGCTTGATCTCTGAGTACTCAGGGCTGCCGGTGGCCTCCAGGTTCTGAGGCTCCTGTGTCTTCATCTCATAAAAGCTGAGGTTGGCGTAGAGCTCTTGTTGCTCCCTGGAGGGAGGGGCATCCTTGGCGGGGGGCGCTTGGTCTGGAGGCCTGTCTGTCCCTAGCCTTTCCTGGGAACCCTGAGTGGAGGGGCGAGAAGGGAGTCAGAGAGGAATAAGGCAGACATGGTCCCAAGGGGAAATTGGGCTGATGGAAGAGTTTTCATTCTTCCTCATTCCACACACATGTCTTATGAACTCAATTGTTCCTGCATACATTTAACATTCTGTAATATTATACTAAAGGCCTACTAATCACGTTTCATCCTCACAGACACCCAGCATGAATGACACTCATTATCCCCATTTACAGATGGGGAAACTGAGGTGAGGAGAGGTGAAGCAACATGCCCACAATGGGTAGAAAGTAGTCATTTTGGGGAGATGGTTCTAGCAGCCTGGGCCTATCAGAGTGGTGAGGTGGGCTCAGTGGTCAGTGTGGCTGGGGCAGGAGGTTCCAGGAAATGAAGGGGAGAAGTCAACTCCCAGCTGTCTGTCCAGCTGACCACAGGGGAGCTCAGTGTGGACTCCTTAATGGACATGCCCAGCCCCCCCTGTACAGCATGAGAAGACACCCCGTCACTCACCCAGGTGACTGTGCCCATGACAGGGTCTTCATCATTCGTGACCTTTGGTCTCCCGGCTACTTGCCTCCTGCGGGCTTTCACTCTAAGGGAAGAAGTCAGCAGCCAGAATGAACGAAAAAGGGATATGGTTTTCTTTTGCTTGTTTTTTATTTTTATTATTATTTCAAGCAAATGAGACATTTTTAAGTTGACTGTGGTGATGAGTGCACACCTGTGTGACTGAACGAAAAGCCATTGAATTGTACACTTTAAATATGTGGGAATTTTACCTCAATAAAGCTGCTACCCACTCCGGCCCTCCCAAAACAGCCCCCTCTGGATGTACTCAGCCCTGCCCTCCCTGCCCCAGAGGCTCACATGCAAAAGGAGATGAGACACAAACACAGGGACAGCAGGGCCAGGGCTCCAGCACCTCCGAGAGCCGCAGGAACCACTCCTGCCTGGGGCACCGCCTTCCCTGCAGAGAAGAGGGGAGTGAGACACCCACTCGTGGGATTTGGTCTCTCCTCTTCCCCCTCCTCCCAGAACCCGCTGTCTGTCTGTTCAGCCAGGAGATGCAGGCCCTGTCCTAGCAATCCCCCCTGTCCAGGCCACAACCCCCTCCCTTCCCCAGCCCCACCTTCTCTCTGACCCACTCCTTTCTCCGTGGCCTCTGCCCCCAGCAGGCCCTGACCTGGCAGCAGCAGGACAGAGGCGCTCTGGGCCCCGTGCACATTCCAGGCCTCGCAGCTGAGTCTGAGGTCAGGGCTGAGCCCCTCATGGAGGACCAGGGAGCTGTTGGTCCAGGGCCCCTCTGAGCTGGAGGTGACCCCGTAGGAGGCGTTGCCATGGCTCCCCTCCAGCAGCCCCGCCCCCAGCCGCCAGCGCAGGGAGGGGGCCGGCTGGGCCCTGGAGGAGCAGCTGCAGTGCAGACCCTGGTCCTCCCAGGAGCAGGAGGGTCCCAGCAGCTGCGGGGGGTCTGTGGGGAGCGAGGAGAAGGGTCAGCGCTGCCTCTAATCTCCCCAGAACCCAGCTGTCCTGCCCCTTGGGTTCTCCCCACTCACAGACCACGGAGAGGCTGAGAGAGACGCTGTGGGAGCCCAGCGGGTGCCGAGCTTGGCAGGTGAACTCTCCTTCCTGTGCAGGCCCCACGCGAGGCAGCTCCAGGATCGCGGTGCTGGAGAGGGGGGTGGCGTTCAGGCCTGGGGACCCCCGGAACCAGCTCAGCGCGGCAGGGGGGTTGCTGTCAGCCACACAGCGAAGCCTCAGGACCTCTCCCTCCAGGATGGGAAGGGATGTGGTTTGCAGAATCTTGAGGGCTTTGGAGAAAGAAGTTGGGGAGAGGCAGAGAGGAAGGGATGGAAGTAGAGAGGGAGGGAGGGTGGAAGGAAGGAGGGAGAGAGAGAGAGAGAGAGAGAGAGAGAGAGAGAGAGAGAGAGAGAGAGAGAGAGGTGGAACACAGGTCAGGCACCCAGTGGTGCGGGACTCAGGTGATGCCTTTCATCTTTGCCTTTCCCATCCCGCTCCCCCCTCTGCCCCACCAGCGCCCGGGACAGGTCCCAGCCCAGAGAGGAGGGGTTCTTTCCTACCTGTGGCATTTCTGAAGGAGACGCCTATGGTGAGATTCTGAGGGGCATCTGGGATAGAAAGACAGGGCCCCACTTCAGATGGAAGTCACCCCAATCCCAAGGAGGGGCAGTGGGAACCAGTAAGGTGGAGTTCTCTCTTTCTGGCCCATTCCCCACCTACTCGTAGATCCATGCACAAATGTCTCAGGTTAGCTCAGCCTCCAGCACACACACACACACACACACACACACACACACACACTCACGCACACACAGACGTTGCTCCCACTGCCCCCATGGACCCAGCCACCCCACCAACACTCACAGGAAACATCGAGCCGGATGGTTCTCTGTGTGGTCAACCGAGGCTGTTGGACTTTGACATGACAGGTGAGGTTGGTGCCGTGATCCTGGCGCCTTGGCGTAAAGGTGAGCATGAAGGAGCAGAGGGTCTGGGGGTTCAGTGAGTCCACAGCTGCTCCCGCCCAGGAGAAGCTGAAACGCTGTCCCCTTTCACAGGACCCTGGCAGACTGCATGCCAGCTGTGAGGGGCGGCCGGACTCCAACGGCTCCAGAATCTGGATGTGGGGTTTGTCTGTCAGGGAGGAAGAGGAGAGAGGGAGGTGTCTGAGACTCAGGGGCTGGGGACCCAAAGTGTGATCCTGAGTGGGACTCGCGCCTCAGGGCCCCTGAGCTCCCCAGGCCCTGTGATCTTCCCACCACCCAAGGCCCAAGGCCTGGACAGGGAGTGTCCAGTGTCCTGTTCCTGCTCTAAGACGGGGTCCCATGTCCCTGGGTCCTCTCATGGGTCCCTGCCGTACCTGTCACCAGCAAATCCAGCATCTTATCTTTGTAAATATGTCTCACTTGTGTTCCTATGTCCATTTGGAAGAAGTAGCGTCCTGTGTCACTCCTCTTGGCGTCTGTGATGCTCAGGGAACAGTCGTTGGTCCTGGGGTCCCCGAGGAGGAAGCGACCTTGGGTCTCTCTCTTCACTGGTTTAAGTGGGTTGTTCGAGGCCACAGGATCAGCATAGGCTGGGTTTTCCCCGTCCCGGTACCAGTAAGTGTAGAATTTGCTAGGGGAATACCGCGAACTCCAAGGGTAGGAGAAGGAGCAGGGCACATGGACACACAGACCCTCAAACACTGTCACCAATTCCTGCACTTGGAGCTCATAGCCTGGTTGCTGCTGCAGGGACCCTAGGAGGGGGACAGAGGCTCAGTGGCAGCCCCTGCTGATCCCCCACCTGCCCAGCCCCCCTCCCTCACCCACTCACCCCCCCACAGTAGGGGCAGCAGCAGCAGCAGGGGCACCATGTCTGCCTCTAGCAGGGCAGAGCGGGTCCTGGTCCCTGTGTCAGGGAGGGAAGTGCCCAGCCCTGGGGTGGGGCCTAGGACACCCCAACAGGAAGCCTTGAGGGAGAGAATGCGGGCAGGCTGGAAGGGGAACTTGGCCTCCACAGGACGTGGGGGTGGTTGATGGTGGCTGAGAAATCATCCTGCCTCCCTCCCCCACCCCACCCAACCCTGCCGGTGCATATGCTGAGGCCCCCAGAGGTTGAGAGGCATGTCCAGATGTGAATCTGAAAGTAATCACCCTGCAGATGATGTGTAAGTGGAGGGGGAGGTCTCCCAGGGGGCCACTGGGGTCAGAGCTGGACTCTGGGGAGACCCACCCTTGAGCTGAAACCACTGACGGGTCTAGAAAAGGATAACATTACATTCTCTTTAGACAACTCCAGTGCTGGCCAGAGAAAAAGCAATTTAGACTCAACTCCAGTTGGAGGAGTGGAACCCCAGCAAAAACTTGAGCATTCAAGCCCTTTGCTCTGAGAGCTTTGTGGGGACATGGGAAGCACACGTGTGGGTCTTCCAGGGTCTGAGGGACCTGGGACAGTGACAGCACACAGGCCCCAGCAGAAGGCGATGTGTGAAGGGAGATCTCACCCCCTTTGGAGGGGACAAGAGGCGGAGCCTCAGCAGAACAGCAAATTCACCACCTACATCTCAGGAAGCTCCACCTTCAGGCCCCTCACGTGCTCCGTCCCTTTTTGAAGCCCAGCAGGGGCTCGAGTGATGTGTGGACATAACCTGCAATTCTACTGCTCTTTTATGAAAGAAAGAGACTTGATCAATGTTTTCCCAAATATGGCAGTGATGTGAAACGTCAGACATTCCCAGTAACAAACTGGGAGATTGAAAGAAACGTTCCTTTAATTGTACAGGAGACAAAGAAATGTCAATCATCCATGCTAAAGGGAACACTGAGTTCTCTCTCTATTCTCTGTATTA